GGTCGTGTTTACTCGTGAAGGAAAATGGAAGGAAGAGGGCGATCAGCGCATTGGAATGTCCAATAGCTACGTAAAACAGCTTGAACCGTTGTGACTAAAGCAGAGCCGAGTTTGAAAAATAAGCTTTCTGTATTTAACCTGATCTTAATTCCGATTCTCTCCAATGGCCTCGAGTCGTGGGCCACGACTGAAAAACCTTGATCCCGTGAACAAGCGGCTGAAATGGGCTTTCTGAGACGAGTCACTGAAATTACGCGCCTCCACATGGTCCTAAGTACAGATGTCCGAGTAGGCCCTGGTGTACAGCCGCTGTCTTTCTGACAAGTCAGAGCTGCGATGGTTTTGGCGTATCTTGTGAACGTTTTTCGAAAGGAAGGCGAAAACGCCACTGGTTGCTCTACCGATCGGCCAAACCAAGAGCAATCTGGGACAACTGTGTGAAAGGACTCTGCTAGAGACCCGAGTTATCTTCAGCCGAAGCTGAAACGCCGGCAGAGAATAGGGAACTTTGGAGACACCACCCGATGCATCTGCTTCAGCGACCCGAAAGGATAAAAGATCATCAAAACCGACTGTCAGCTTCTGGTTATCACTGTTTCACTAGCCAATTGCTTCATGGTCCTTGATAAATCTTCGTTGTTCAGGAAATATCCACTGTCGCATTGCGCACAGGTATGCAACCTAGCACTTCGGATACTGCCCTCTCTTTGCGATGTAGACGCTTTAGCTGGATTTCTGCAAAACAGCTGCCCAAGAATATAACGGACACTTCTGCACAGAAAACACTGCATTAAAGAGACAATCGGTCGTTTGATTTATTAATGACTCAAATCATGAGTCGAGAAAATACTACTACAACGGGATATTAAAGTCAGTCTGATATATTACTTAACGCCAAACTAGGCTGATCAGCATAAACTAAAATCAAACGCAACTGAGTTAAACGAAATCGAGATAAAACAGCATTATGCGATATTTACTTGTTCTGCTTTTAGAGTCAGTTCGATGAACAATTGCTGCAGTTTCTCGTTGACGTAGTTGATGCAGAACTGCTCGAAGCCGTTCACATTAAATATTTCGAAGCCGTAAATGTCAAGCACGCCGATCGTCAATGCACCGGCCTGCTTTTTTTGCATCGCCTTATTAACAGAGGCAACAAGGAAATCAAACAACCTCGCGTAGAGCGCCTTCGCCAATGCGTCGCGCGTGTAATTCGCCTGTTCAACATTCAGCTTGACGTCGATGACATCGCTGGTCTTACCCCATTTAGACTCGAGCCGGCGGCTGGTCAGCTTCTGTCGGATTTGTCCAGCATCGATGTCCAGCAGAAACGCCGGGTATTCGAGAACTAAACAAAGTCTAGGTTACAGATACTACCGTTAGATGCAGAGCACGAACAGGTTTAAGAAAAAAAGCTCCGAAAACAAAACCTGCACGCCTGCGTTTACGTACATTCGGCATTAGCGACGTCTGCATAGTTGTCCTTCTCAACGAAGCTGATGTTACCGATGTGAAGAACGGCGGCAACCAGTTTCAGAATCTCCATCCGCACCTGTTCAGATAAGCCAACCACTGCCATAGCTTTCTAAAATTATAGCGGATTCGTCACGATCATAACTATACATTTTAGTAAACAGAAAGCACAGATTAAGTTGTGAGTCGTGCTCTTCAACACAGATATGACTTTTAAATCGTTTGGCGTATGAACCTATATGCGAACCGCGAAATAAACGACTGGAAAAAATGGGCTGAGCTTAAAAATCAGAAATCTTAGCAGCCGACAGAGCTAAATTTACGGTACTTTAAACATATTAAAATCCGGTACTAGGACTGTGAAAAGTTTAAGAGCCTGAAAGCCGATAGATGACAGCTCATAAGATGTAACAGCAGAACAAAGCGGAACTGAGCAACAAAATGAGTAGGTCAGTAACTCGCCACAAAGCAGATCTGACTTGACAACAGTTAAACTAACTCTGCCGCTGTGATTTCCAATGGACGATACCTGAGGATGAGGAATTAACCGGTGAACTCAGAGGTAAACACTGATAAACAAACGAATGAGCACGGCGGTAAACAAACAACCGAGAGTGACCCTATTAATTAGTGAATATCATTATTTACCAGCTTCTAATGAACTATAATATCTTGCTTACGCCATGTTTGAGTCAAGTCAGTGTAATTTTATAAACCTAGACAAAAGACAAAAATGCGGTTGAGTACTGTATCATTTCGACGAACAACAAAGGTCAGATGGCAGGGAAAGAAAAAGATCAGGCTTGAAGCTGTTTTAATTTAGTTTAGCGAACTTACAGCGATTTTTAGAACCGTTCTTTCATCAGGTTTATGGTGCAGCGCTGATCTTGGTTTCGACGCCACCAACCAGAATGCTGCTTTTCTGTAGGCCATGCCCAATGTTAGATGGCCATTGTCAGAGTAGTTTTTCTCGTTGTTTCTACATATAGATACTCAAATGGAATAAATCTATTTAGGCAGCGGCATCTACTAAAGACGCAGGGATTAAGTGAGACAGTTCCACCGTTTAACAAAATTCTTGTGCACAAATCCTTCACTACATTTCGTGACTTTTGCATATGGGAACTGAAACGAAAGTCGAAAAGCCATGCATGTCATATACGAAAGAAGCATAACAGGGCAGCGTTCAGAGAGGAACTGTTCCTACTGCGACACTGACATCGCTGCCTTCAGGCAAAACAGTTGCAAAATAAAGAATACAACGAATATAACAAATCAGAGATCTGCCTGTGTTAACGGCTAATGGTGATGATCACAGAAAACAACTGATTTGATGTAACAGAAGATGATATGTCACTTGCAACCTTGAGAGGTATGAATCTGTCATTGAGGATTCCGTTAATGCGTCACGGCCCTTGAGAGAGGTATCGTTTCTTGCTTACTCCGCTCGCACGAACTTCCAAGTGAAATCAAATTCAGAATGAACTTACAACAAATTCACTGGCCACATTAAGCAGAAGAACGTATCACCTGCGCAGAAAGGTCACCATGACCATTATTCTAGTCAGGATCTCTGTGCATATATCACTGGCATGAGTAACTGTTTGAGCAAGTGGCTTGCTTCTGAACACAGCTTTAATACCTTGTATACCGAACAAAGGCAGAAGTTCTTCAGCTCAAAGATCCATCCGTTCGAAGATGGATGAACTTCCTTTAGAACTCTAGCTTTGCGAGCGAGGCAAGCCAATCCGCCTCTTTGCCCCTCCATGGGAAATCAAATCCATTTACATGATTCCCATGAGCTGCTATACCGTATTCTCAGCAAACGAATACTAACAATAATAGGCAATAGCGTCACCACTGTGAGTAACGAAAGATGTAGCGGGTAAAATATCTGGTCAATTATCGGGTCAACATTTGCATTAGTGAATCACAAAGGTTCAAGTAATAGGCTGACGAAAGGCATCCTTTAACTCGTCAGATTAAGTGTAAAAGGCTTTCTCAGCCTTCCCTTATGGTACTACAGAATGACAGTTTCATTACCACAGGCTCATTTCTTGTCATTCCTTTGAATTCTTGGAGGTTTCGGCCCTAACTTCGCCCACTGGCCAGAGGAAAAAACGTTTTACCTAAAATTAGAATTGAACTCCCTACTTTCAGCGGTTTAACCTAATCACTACGTAAAATTAGAGGTAGAAACACAGCTATAAACAGCTTGCCTTGTACTGTATACAGAGATGCCGAATTAAAATCTCTCGCGGACTGAAGTTTCCCTTATTAACCGCTACTTCTCTTGAGAAAGGAACTCATCTAACTATTCATCGTTGAAACGGAGCACTTCAAATACGTAGGCTTAACTATAACCACAGACGGCCTCTGCAACAGAATCAATGTGACTGCAACGGCATCTGGAAACTCTGCGAAACGTGTCAACAAAGCATCAGCCTGATGACGAAATCCAATAGCTGTCAATGCTGTCTGTATGCGATCCAGCAACGGTGTCTGTGCAGTCCATTAAGTATGTTCTGAAATCATCGAATAACGAACTGGATGATGCCGTCTGCCCTTCAACTACGAGACGTCACATCAGCGCTGCAGGAACGGCGAGTCGCGTAGCCTGACAGAACAGTGAGCAAATGCATAGCACTGCTGGTTCATCAAATCTCTTGAGGGAACCCAGTCATGGAAGCGGCCGTCGCCAACGTCGAATGTGAAAAAAATACTCTTCAGGCAAACCTGAAATCGTTAAGAACATTTCCGACGCGAAAGCAGAGACAAATGTTCCGCGTCATATCAATTCCCCCGCAATCCTGCAGATATCATAAGAATAAGCACTGCAACTGCGGAGAAGAGCCTAAATGACGATGACCCACACATGTTTTAGCAGAACTACCCGAGAAACAGATAACAAATCGATGGATTGTGAACAACAGCAAAAGAATGGTGCTCAGATGTGGTCATGCCAGACCGGTCGCAGACAGTGCAATGCTGCCACAGTTATTTACGCATTTAACGCTAGTATTTGAGAAAGATAATCTACGGTGAAGAAGTTCGGTTGTAAAGCAGTCTGACCATACCAAATTCTATAAACGGTAAAATCTTTATCCTTAAACAATAATTACAGTGCACTACTGCAACTTCTGCGTACAGCGCTGACGTGAACTGACATGCCGCGTGTATTAAACGACCAAAAGGTCATATCTGTATGCCAAATCAAATTTCACCAGTCTGGATAATGCTCTGCCGCTAAGTCATTGTTAACATTAGATGACGATGACAACAACAAATGTAAAACTCAAAGTGTTCAAGTGTACAATAATATTCAGGTTTTAAAAGGAGAGGTCGTGCGAGTACTTACCATCGTGCACTTGAAATCTTCTGCGTCATCGATATTCGTAACTTCAGAAACATCGCTCTGATTAAGATAGTAATAGTAACCCGGATCCGTGATACCAAGGTACCCTGAAAGTGAAAGCGCTCATCTTTAGCAGATCTGTACAGTAAAGAGGTAGCGACTCTTTGGTTACTTCGTTTCTCAGAGTCGATTCCGGCGCATATCTGGTAAAAGATATGAAAGTTTCGTTCATCGGCATTCTGCGCCACGACGCGAGACTAAAACGACACTGTTTCATTCTAAGCAAAATTTTAGACAATGGTGGAGTGAAAGCAAGGATCCCGGCAGTTACAAAGTCCCACTGTGCAAAGATCCTG